CTGCACAGGAGGAGACTGTTCTAATTTTTTCTCTCTCAGAACTGCAGGTGGATTTGAACAACACAAATCCTTGCCAACTCCTTACAAACTAGGTCACTCTAGCTCTCGGAGCCTTTCAGAAACTAATAACCAGGCGTTCTGGATGGATTCGAACCACCCGCCTCTCAACCAGTGTCTACTGGTTAGTGCTTAGTCATTTGTACCACCAAGGATTCCTGAGTAAATATTCATGGCTCATATTTTTCTCCAAGACACAACTAACAGATTCAAAATCAGCCGCACCTCCCAACGCCGGGCGTGCACGTGGGTATATATTTACATTTCTGCAAATAATCCCATCTCGTTCTTCAAATAGAATAAATGGCTTATTAGCTGAAGAGATGGACTGGAGTCCTGCACTTCAGACAAGAGAGTCACATTCAATCATTTTCAAGCTCAGCAAACATCTAGCAGGGTTTTGGCTGCACGCGGAGCCTCACTGGGAAACCTGGTGCGCGCATCCAGATGCGCCTATGTCCTTCTCCAGGGTGGAACGGACCCCAGCTCTCCAAGAAGCTGTAAATCCTCACCGCTCTACCTCCCGCGTCCTCACCCAGGGCCACGCCCCCTCGCGAGGGCATCCATGGGTAGCCTTGGGGCAGCGGCGCCTCAGGGTTCTGACGTGGGGGAGCGCGCGTCTTCTGGAAGCTCAGCGGTAGCGGCCGGTCAAGCCCGCTGGCAAGTGGCGCCTCCGTGTCCTCCCTCCTCCCGGCCTGATCCTGGCCGCTGCCTGCGAGCTCAGCTGGATCCACCCCTTCTCCAAGCCCTGCGCTTCTCAAACCGGAGCGCGGACCACCCCGGAGGGCTGGTCCAACTGTTGAACTTCCCCGCGTCTCTGACTGCGCACACCTGGAAGAGCACCGATAAGCTTGTCTCCACCACGCTCCCAGGTGATGGTGATGCTTCGATGCTGGAGCGGACGACTACCTAAATTTGCTCAGGAAAAGGGCGGGCTCCTCCTGCCCCCAGGACTGCAGGCTGCAGCTCTGATCAGCGAGGGAGGCCGGGGCCTGGACCAAGCGGGACGGAGGAGCTTCTCCAGAAAAACCGCCGAAGGCTTCCTGCAGGTAGGAACCTGGGACACCTGCGACCTCCGTTTCTTCTTTATCTTCCGATCTGGTCTCTTCATCCGTGCACGTGGGCTACTAAGGTGAAACGGCGGGATCCCAGAGTTCCAGAACGCAGAGACACCGGGAAAAGGCATACTGTTAGAATGTTAATTAGCTCAGGTCTTCGTGAGGCCAGGAGGGCCTCCCAGAGTCCCCGGAGAAGGTGTCCTAGAAGATGTAGCATTTCCGTGAGCCGGGGAGTAGACGGTGATGGAAGGGATTTCCCCGGCAGGCGTCAGGGCGCTCAAGGATACTGTCCCCGCAGAAGGGCCTATTGAAGGTTAGGGTCTAGCTGCCCTCTGCTCCACGCTGCACCTTCCTTCTGTCCATTGCGGGTCCCCTGCTCCCCCTCGCACCGTCCTGCTCCCCCTCGCACCGTCAGGAGCCTGTGTGCCCTCTGCCCACCCTGTGTCCTGCCTGCATTTGCTCTCACTCACCAGGCCCTTATTGGCCTCACCTGCACACTTAGGGATTCACGTGCTCGGTCAGCCAGGGGCGCGCGTGCGCTCACACACATGCACCCCATACAGTCTCCCAGGCCTTTGGAGACTCTCTCAGATGGCAAGTGGAGGCACCTGATTCAATAAAGGCAGAATCCAGACCTCCCAACACCACGTGTGACCAGCACAGTGGCCTTGCACAAGCTACAAAGTCCATTTTCTTACCATTGAAGAAGGGAGATCTGGTGGCCTCGGCCTTAGGAATTGATGCTGCCAATGTAGTGGTTAGAAGTTTGAATCCACCAGCTGCTCTGCAGGAGAAAGAGGGGCGGTCTCCTCCAGTGGGATTTGCAGCCTCTGAAAACCTACTAGAGGGTCAGCTCTCTGGCAGTTCTGACTCCTATGCAATGAGGGAAAGTGAGAAAGGGCCAGAAGAAAATAGGACAGTCACGTGTGGGCTGCATTTTGTATTTTTGTTTCAAAGTACAGCATTTCCCATGATACACATTTTTATGAAACAATAATTTTCGGGACATTCACTACCTTCGACTCAATTTGTAAGCCCACCACCCGCTCTCATGGTTCACTGACAGTGGCAAACTGTTGGCATTCCCTACCAACCCTGACTTTTCTCTATGAAAAAAACATGGTTTTCTCAATCCCAGGCAGGCTCACCACTCACCACTCGGTAGCCGGGCAGCAGGGCCACGAGAGCCAGCTGTCAAAATCGGGCCTTCCAGGGCGTCCCCGGCGCAGACAACCGCCCCAGGCGATCTGGACAGCGCTAGTCACTTTCCCCTTTCCAAGCTCTTTTCCCAATGCTCTTTTCCCAGCTCCAGCGGGTGCAGGCCGGGCTATGCGCGTCAGCCTTGCGGAACGTCTGCCAGGTATCTGGCTCCCGCAGCACCACCCAAACTGGTCGCACCAGTCTGCCCCGCGGCTGTTTCTGCCAGGGCTTGCCCGTGTATGTGTGTGTGTGCGCGCGCGCCTGTATGTATGGGTGTGCACTGAGCCCCTTCTCTCCAGCAACCCAGGTAGATGGGAGGTGGCTGGGCCAGCAGCTCAGGTGGGTGGAGGGGAATTAATCTAACCTGGAATTTCAGCTCAGCGGGCACAACAGGTGAGGGGGAAGCAGTAGGGAGAGCATGGCTACTTAGGCAACTTGGAAATATTCTGGTGCCTTGTCCCGTGCACCCCGGGTGGAACATGGCCCGGGGTGACTTTTCCAAACAGTGCAGGTTTCCAGGCAGGTCTGCGCCAGGCCCTTGGGAGGCCGGCGGAGCCCCTCCTACGCGCTGTCCTCCGGGTTACCGCGGCGCCCGCTCCCCCTCCTCCGGGAGGCAGGGCGGGGGGATCGGATTAGTCTTTGTTTTCGACGCGAAAGAGCCGAGCGCGGCG